AGACGAGTGATTCAATTTGACAAGAAGAAAATCCATGCGATTCAACGCGCTTTTGCTCAAGGAGGAAGTTCAAACCTTCTTCCCATTTTTAATCAGTTTCTCTTTTGGGGAAGTTCAAAAAATTTTCTAAAATTTTTTATTTTGGAGAAGTTCAAAACTTTTCATCGAGGGAAGTTCGAAAACTTTTACTTCATTTTTCACGTCTTTCTCTTTCAGGAGAAAGTCAGTACCCTCCACTCATGACAAAAAATGACGGAAATTTTTTGCTTTTGCATTTTCATTTGCTTATGTCTGCGCACTCACTCAAACTATACATATACACACACAATCACAAGTCATACACATGTCATGTCATGTCAAGTCAACCTTGGTCAAGTCAGTTGGTCAAGTCAATCACAATCTATGCGAGTCCCTTGGCAAATTCTATTTTGCAGTCGAACAATCATCAATCAGACATTTATCAAACACCTAGCAATCATCTCCCAAGCGCGGACGATTCACGTTGCAAGGTTCTCGAGACACAGAGACTTGTAATTTCTCATCAACAGACAAGTTTTTCCTGAGGTGCGGAAAATTGTCAATCGTTGCACACTTTTCAAGGCGTAGAAGTCGGCGATTGTGTCCCAAGGCGTGGACACTTAGTGTTATTCGCGGAGTATGGAATTTCACTTGTGAGCTACTCAAGGCGTAGGAGATCACGATAGGGTTCCCCAGGCGTGTAAACTATCTCATATTAGTCTTCCTGAGGCGTTGAAGATCATCAATCAGTAGGCTGCTCGAGGTGTAGGAGTCTACGACATGTTGCTCGAGGCGTGGAAACTTGTCACCTTTCACTTGTGAGTTGCTCGAGGCGTAGGAGCTCATGATAGGGTTCCCGAGGCGTGGAAACTATCTCATATCAATCTTCCCGAGGCGCGGAAGATCATCATTCAGTAGGTTGCTCGAGGCGTAGGAGTCTACGACGTTTTTCTCGAGGTGTGGAAGCTTGTCACCTTTTATCTAGTGGATCGCTCGAGGCGTAGTGGTTTACAATATAATTCCCGAGGCGTGGAAACTTATCACTTTTCATTTGTGAGTTGCTCGAGGCGTAGGAGCTCACGATAAGGTTCCTGAGGCGTGGAAACCATCTTATATCAGTCTTCCCGAGGCGCAAAAGATCACCATCCCAGTAGGATGCTCGAGGCGTAGGAGTCTACGACATGTTTCCCGAGGCGTGGAAGCTTGTCACCTTTTATATAGTGGATCGCTCGAGGCATAGTGGTTCACAATAGAAATTCAAAGGCGTGAAAAATTATCATCCGGTGGATTTCTCGAGGTGTAGAAAACTACCAAACGTGTTTGTTTCCATGCACTGGTGTCAGATACGCGTTTTATACCCTTTACTCTCTTATATGTGGAACTAACGTTTTTCTGCAGGTATCGGCGTATACAGAGTGATTTAGGATCGCAGAACGTCTTAAATCATTCTCCGCCCCAATCGACTACTTTGACTATCGTTTTCGAAACTCACGTTTCTACAAACTCAGTCAAAGTGGGGGCTTCTATAGACATCTAAAAATGTCTCCCCAAAATCAAACCCGATGATGAACAACCTTTCACCGCCATTATTGGTTGGGGCGAGTATTTAATCTCGAGAGTGCTTAAAATCCATATTCTATCAAACACGGCTTACAAATCAGTCAACAAATCAGTCCAAATGTTTAGTCAAAGCACAGTCCAACCCTCATATCAGCCAAAACATTCTAATCCATTTCGTTATGTTTATTAATTAAGCTCGATTAATAAGTATTAAAGCCCTAAGGCTAGAATAAGTCCGTAACACTGAAACGGCGCCTAATTTATCACGTGCTTGATGCTTAATAAAAAGATAAAATGAAGTTAGATTGAACAGGAAACCTTGTTTGCCGCACCACGGCAGATTTTGCCGTGACACGACAAAATGCACTATGTCACGGCAATTTGACGGCAATTTACGCCATGACACAGCAATTTCTAGGGTTTTCTCTGCGGCACTTTTCATTTCTAGGGTTTTGTGCCTCACCCCTCACAGTTTCTCTATAAATACGAGGCTGATTTCTCAGTTTCGGGGCACTAAAAATCACACTCTCTCTCTCTTATACTCTAGCCTAAATACTAACCTTCCCTATTCTTCCATAATACATACCTTAAGCACTCCCTAAAGTCCGTACTTTACTCGAAATTCTAAACTTAAACCAAGGCGTGAAAGGTAGAACTGTTTGAGGGTTTGGTTTTGGGGAGACATTTTTAGGTGTCTACATATCCGTTCGATTTTCGGTTTGGATTTAGGCCAAATCCAATCCGAAATATAATTCGGTTTTCAATTTTTCAATTCGATCCAAATTTTTCTCCCAATACAATTCGATCCAATCTGAATTAAGATTCGGTTATTTGGACCCACTCCGAAAATTTGAATTGAAATACATTAATTTTTGAAGCCTATTACCATTAAAAAAATAAAAATGCATTAACCTTAATTTTAATACAAGTTTTCAATATTAATAATTAAAATAAATAGTTCAACATCAAATCATTAATTAATTAATACAAGTCTTCAAAACAGTCAACATCAAGCCAATAATTTATTTAATTGTTATAGTGAGTATTTGGGCTAAACTTCAGAAGCCTAATCATAAAACAGAGTAGTCCATATTCATAAAAATTTAATTTTACAATTAGGTTTTCGATTTTATTCGGATCCAATAGTTAGGGTCAATCAGATCCTATTCGAAAATCCGAATTTTCAAAAAATCTCAATCCGTTTTGAAGTTCGTATATGATCCAAATTAATAATTCGGATTGGATTTCAGTATCAATCTGAATTATGGACACCCCTAACTAGCTATCACCAATTGGGTATGGAACCTCGTTTGTGGATCAAACTCTCCATTTTCTTGTTTTGGTTGTCTAGACCCCTTTCATATAATTTTAAAATTTAACAAGGATAATTTATAATTCTCCTATTAGGAAATTGTATAACTGATATTGATTACTCCGACACTCCGTAGGTTATCTATTGTATAAATATAGTTGATGACTAATTCAATAATCTTTTCAGGGTATACATGCTCCACCCTGAGAAGATTAAATTAGTAGTGAAGAAAAATCAATGCCCGAAATTGCGGGAAAGAGGCGCACCATAAAGATAAGCCGACATAGCAAGGTGTACAACTAGTTCAATACTCAAAACAACACAAAGTAAGATCACACAATCACACCGCCTAGCCAGTGGGCACGGGGTGGCCGTGTAATTCCAGGTCGTAATGTGTTGGAAATCAGCAGCACATTGCCAGCTTTTAAGCCTCATTATTTGTAGACTTTGAATATTATTATTGAACTGGATTTTTGCATTTTGTAAAAAAATCTGGCACCACTACACTATGTTTAAGTGGGGTCTTTCGTCTTTGTGCCTGATGAAGACAATTAATGTTAAGACCAAGAAAATCCCGCGTCTTACGTTATACTTATACCACTTCCACTCGTTTTTAAAGCTTTCTATCATTATCTAATTACTTATACTATGCTCTTCACCTTTGTGACTTTGTAATTTATAATTTGTATAGATCCGACCACAAGAGGAAATTGGGAAAGGAATAAGAACTAAATTAAAATTTTTGTCATTTAGTAAAATATTTTATGTAATTTTGTTTATCTCTTTAGAATTATAAAAAAGTGTAAAATATCAACTAAAATATACTCGTCAGTCTTTAGTTATTAGCACTAGACTCAATCATCTCACAGGTAAACCAGTATTGTTATGTAGGCCATGCTCTTGAGAAATGGGAGGGAGGGGGTGAGGGAAGATAAGGGAATCTCCACCCCTAAGAACCACAACTTGTAGGAATCTAACCCATGACCTTGAGATTATGAGATGAAACTCCTACCAACTAGGCCAAGTATTACTTGGTTTTAATATATTTTAATTAGTATCGTAATTTTTTTCTAATAGGATTATACTTTATAATACTCCTTCTGTTCATATTACTCGTTACAATATTCATATTCTACTAGTCTGTAACATTTTTTACACTTTTGTTAGGATTTATAGAACTGAACCCAATCCTAATTTTCTGCATCTATTCATATATTTTGATAATAATAATTAGTTAAAGACGATCTCACACACTCTAATTCAATTAACCAATAAAAGGACAAAAAAAATTCACTCTTGCTAGTTAAATCTTTCTTTATAATAAAATTACAATTGATTGATAATGTATACCTTAAAACATGTATCATGATCAATATGTCTTACTAGTATTCAAAGATGGAGGAAATATTATCTCCCTTAATTGGGGTCCATCCTTCAGACAGGTATACATCTTGAATATGTATGTATGTCCTCCAAAAATCCAAAATACATTACTTTTTTATATAATTCTTATATTCCTATTTTATTAAAGTTGAGTTTGACCCAAATCATCACTACTATTTTCCTACACCTTTCCAATATAGATCATGGAACAAAAAGTAGATACACAAGATATACTTTATTTATTAGCACCAAAGAAGTACGTAGAAATCAAAAGATGTAACGGTTCTATAATAACGGTTTTGATTAGAATTCAATAAAGTAAAGAGCATCTTCAATCGATCTAGATCTATAAGAAAATATTTCCTTCATATCGTTAGTTGAGTAGTGCAATTCTATCATTGTAAAGGTGAGACATTGATCTAGCAAGGGTCTATAAAGTGTCGACAGTGATATTCCTTTTCTTAGAAGTGCATGAATTTCTTATTTTAATACTTCATTAGAGAAGATTGTATGAAGGTACACGGTGGGGCACACAAAAAACTCGATTCTACAGAGATATGAGACCTTAATCTTACATCCTAGGAAAACTTGGGAGAGTGGACTTACCACAATCGACATTTCAAACTAAATTTCATGTAATCCATATCATACTTCTTATGTTCACTGCAAATAATATAACACCTTATTTACTTGATATACTTTGTATAAAGTAATTGCGCAAAAAATATATAAAAATGAAGTTTTATATAGAGCAAGGAAAATTGCTTACGATTTTGCATGATAGGTCTTAAAAGTCCTTGTTAAGACCTTTCTTATAATAAATGTTACAAAATCAAGCTGCGGCTACTAACTAATAAAGTAGCTAGTATTATTTTTGCATATACCAAATCTCATACTCCTTGCCCTGCCCCTTAGCACTATTCTTACCAAGCTATATCCTCTAAAAAGAATACTTATCATATAATTAATTATTGATTTTCAATCCTTAATCATATAAATAATTATTAGTAGCTAGCCATTAAATTAATTAGCATAATCTAGTAGTTACTACAAATTCCAAGTCACAATTAGTTAACTTGGTTAATACCTATTGACGTAATTAGTTGCATAACAAGGCGGCGGAGATAGAGTACTATGAGCAACCGTGTTTGCCACCCTTCTGTTGGAATTAAGTTGTTTGTTGTTGTTGTTCGATTTCGCGGTATACGATTGTGATGAACGCTTTGGTTGTCTAGATTTCCTCCTTGGCTGAGATGATTGTGGGATAAATACACCAGTTCCTTTGCTCATAATTTCTCTCCTACAATTTTGTTGGTACAAGTATTGTGATGGCATTATAGGTGGATGATGAATCATTGATCCTAAATATTCCTGTAAATCCAACCAATAACAAAAAAAATTAATTAAAACGTGCACTTTTGTAAAAAAATATTACTCCCTTCATTTCTAAAAGACTTTTCCAAACGAACAGAGTACTTTGTATAAGGATAATTAGTAACTCGAATTTACAAATAACTGTATTTTGAGAAAAATAAATGGTTATATCTCGTTTATAAAAACTAAAAGCAATAGTCGTTTAATAAAGGAAGTGTAATGAAATATTAAGCACGTAATTAAGAACAGACCATTAGCAAGTCTTTCTAGTCAACTGTTCGAGCTTGAATTTTAGTTCATTTATAATGTACAAATTAATTTCTCAATATTATCATTTTGTAGAGAAAAAAATCATAATTTGACTCCTTGTTTTTCTAGATAAGATTATTAAGTTAACAAGCCCCAAGTTAGTAAACCGGATATATATTACCACTTAATTATAACTAATTAATTACAAAGCCTCAAGTACATAATGATTTTATTATATATTTCGATGCTTACTTCGTATGGACTATGGAGTATATCATAGGACAGGTAACAACTTTTCCTCAACTGATTAATGAATCTTATTTACGAGAAAAAACAGAAGAAAATTAAAAAAAAAAAAAAAAAAAAAAAGAAAAAAAAAAAAAAACACCAAAACAAAGGATTGAAGATGAGAAGTACCTGATGAGAAATCGAATGAAAATGGGCAACCGGATAATGATCGTTGTTATCGTTGTCGTCGTCATCTATCAAAAGACAGATTTGCCTATTTAAATCAGCAAAATAAAGATCATCTTCTAAGGCAACTTCCAAAGCCATTTTAACTTCAATTCAAAAACTTCTTGCTTCTTTTTAGTACTTTTTCTTTTGTTGTTCTAGATTATATTAGTGATCTTTTTTGAATGGGAGAGGAGAATAAAATGAGACTTATAAATAAGAATGATAAATGAAGGGGGGGTCATGTGAGTTGGAGCACATGAGGGGTATAGCTATCAGCTAGTGGTAAATGCCGTGTTCGGGGTCGAGTTTGGGTCGGGTTTAAATTTGCGGTAATGCAAGAGGGGAGTGTGGTGGAGGGTGTTGGACGATCTGTCTACAGAAAAAAGGGCCCACAAAAATGATGGGTACAAGTTGGGGGATATTATATCCAGTTGGAGATTGCTAAAGATGGTGATAAGTAGCCGGCAAAGCTCCACAACGATGTTACATCCATCTGATCTTTTAAAGATATTAGATAGATAGATAGAACTTCATCATCTATCTTGTTTGTGTAATTAAATACTTGGTTGTAGGTTGATGTTTTTATATCCTTCATATCCATTTGAATTATTGATTGTGGTTTTTAATATTCAACCCAAGTGGGTCCTACTTTGGTGTGAAGAAGTTATGTTATTTTATAGTGTATAGTATGTTGATTGTTGATTGAGGAAAAGTCTTGGTCTTCAATGAATGTGGTATAAGATTTTGTGCGACTACATCAAATTTAGTAGGAAATACTCTTAGATAGAATAATGGTTTAATTTGAGTATTATTTGTGTAATTTGTTTTTGGTGAAGATGGGTTTCTCTTTACTTCACTTATTGAATGAAACATATTAGCTTTGAACTAACTTAGTAAACTTCTTAATGACTATGAAGTAGACCTGACAATCATGACCCAATCCATGACCCAAAACTTGATTCGAAAACAACAATTCGAAATTAACCCGAAACCCAAAATCTACCATACTTAACTCATACTCGACCCAAAAGTGGAGATGACCCGATATGACCAAGCCCAATTGTATCTGACTCGAAGTTGACCCGATACTTGAAATGACCCGATTCGAAGTTGACCCGAACTGATTTTAACTATATATGGTGCCATAAATGATTCAAATGGTTTCATCCCCAACCGTAATCAAACTTACTAACCATATAAAATTATTGATTTGAGTTTCACCCACAATGTCAACACAGAATGAACGGCCCGAACATGATTCGACCAGATTTTAACCTGACCTGAACAAACCCAACGCGAAATTTACCTAACCCGATATCTACTCGACACCTGACTCAAAACATACCCGAATCGACCCAACTCGACCCGAATGTTAGTCAACCCAAAACGACCCAACTCAAAATTAGCCCGACCCGTACCTAACTCAAATGACCCGTTTGCGAGGTCTATTATGAACATATACCAAAGAATAATTATATAAATTTAATTGACAATTCATCCTTATAAGATCAACCTTAACTGGATTTATTAAATTTTGGAGCAATATAATGTAGAAATACTTAAACGAATAAATAGGAGAAGAATAGAATGAAACTCCTTTTGTTTTACAATGTTGTTTGTTTTAAACGGCCAAAGAATTCACAACCACCACAAAACTACCAATTCACTTCTCCTTTCCCTCTTTCCCCGACCATTGTGAAGATCCCACCACCCAGCCACCCCACCGCAACCCATCGTCGTCCCTCTCCCCACCCTCGAAACCCTAGCCGTTGAGAGAGCTTAGCAATGGTTGCACAATTGACTGAAAATATACATTTGACAAGGAAAGCAACCACCATACAATTAATTACTACCATCAACTGATTGAAGATGCCCGTGGAGAGAGGTCTTAGCCGCACAGAATGCAAATGCAGAGGAGAGAACTTTTTACGTTTTTTTTTTTCTTTTTTTTTTTTGAGGGGGGTTTCGGGATAAAGATGGTGGTTGGGGGGAAGGGAAGGGCAGCATGGGAGAGGGGAAGGGGCGGCGAGGGGTTGCTGGGTGGTTCTGTGGTGGGGTTAGGGTAGAAGGGTTGTGGTATAGTGGTGCCTAGGGAAAGGGAATGAAAAAGCCTAGTGGGGGTGAGGAATCAACTTAGAAGACTATGGGAGAATGAGGAGGATAAAGGGAATGGAAAAATAGGCCTAACAAACATCAAAGGAAATAAGAAAAATTGATTCCCTTTCCCTTTGATAAATACCTCCAACCAAACGACCCCTAAGTTCCTCTCCTTTCAACTTTTCAAAAGAATAATAAAAGACCCTGTTGAAATAACTCCCATCTTTTCTTGAATCCAAAACCTCAATGAAGCTCCAGGAGTCACGGCAGAACTAAAAAGCATCTGACACAGTGCAGCAAAGAGAAACAACTGCTAAAATTATTAAAAACAGCTCAAACTAGTACCAAAAAGATGTACATATATCAATCTAGTAGATGAGTTTGTTGATCAGATGTTCACTAGTCCCACTACTTTAGAAGGATATGCAACAAGCAGCTAAAGCCTGTTGCCAGCAACATAACGGAAGAACCAACCTACTTAAGGCTCTTTCCGTGAACAGCATACAGATTAAGCAGCTACGAAATCTACCCCTTCTAAAAGTAAAATGGCAGAAAAGTAGTTAAGTACCACCCCCAAGCATAAGCTCTACCCAGCCAAAAAATGATGGTCAGGGCTCCAAATAGGGTCCTGATTACATTGATCAATGGACAAAAATTGAATTTAGGGCAGGAAGAGGATGGTAACAAGATTAATATAGTTCACATAGTATCTACCATATAGAATCAATATAACTATGCACCACCAGCGGTATCCATATCTGTCATCCCATCGGCTCCCTTGAAGAAAACACGTAATTTTCTTAACCCAGATGTTTTCTTGTCGTTCTTGCTAGATGTGCCATTCACATGAACAGTGCCACTGGGAACTCTTCCCATCAAGTCAAATAATGTTTTTGATAGATTTGATCGCGTCTCCTGTTCGAGTGGTCCCTGCATGTACAGGTTTTTCCCTTCGAAAATCACACTGACTTTTGACAGATGCAGCTTTGGATGTTTCTCGAGTAGTTCAAGGAACTGTTGCACCATAGAACCATGAGAAAAAAGTTAGCCTAAGCACCCATTTCAAGATACAACAAGACAGCAAAGGGAAGGAACAATACTGGTTCCAAGACCAAACAGAAATGTTCATGGTTTGTGCTAGACAATGCAAGTGCACAAGCAAACAGTTAATCTACTCTAAGGACAAGCATGATCGTACATTCATAATCCTTGCAATTCTATAGCGTGAAAAAGAACTAATCACTCCATCTAAAGCTGTCCTATTCAAATGATAAGTCAAAGTTTGTACTCCTGTTATTAAAAGATGTACACATTTACTACAGTCTTCACAAATTCTCACCAATATACAAGAAAATACATAGTCAAGTGGAGTCTGGTTAAAATCTGCTCAATATGTAGTTTCTAAAAAGCAATTTTTTTAACTTTGATGGTAAGGAAATAAAGATATTGATAATTAAAAAAGCACACTGAAAAATGTGATAAAAAAAAAGGGGTACAACAACAACAAAGCCTTAGTCCCAAAATGGTTTGTGGTCGGCTAACATGAATCGTCATAAGGAATCTTAAGAAAATGAGATAACAAAAATAATCATTTGAAAGAGTTTCAAAAAGGTGAGTGAAGTGAGCAAACAAAAGAGCATTCAAGAAAAATTAGGGTGAATTTTAAAAGAGAACCAAGGATAAAATTCAAGAAAGTTTTACAAAAGTGGTTAAAACGTTGGAGTAAAAAAATATAAAGGTTTGAGCAAACTTTAACAAAGGAAATAGTACAATTTATAAAACATTAGTGGGCTAAAATAATAAAATTAAATCAATCAATCGAAGCCTTAATCCCATTAGTGGGGTCGGCTACATGAACCAAAAGTGATTATTCCATGTAGTGAAATAAAATTAAATACATATATATATATATATAAAAAGTATATATATAATCACGACATTTCGTTGACGTGAATTTTCTCCCTCCACACCACCCTATCCAACACCATATTTTCCTCGATCCCCAAAATCAAATGGGTACATAAAAAAACAATAAATAAATAAATAAATGAGGGAGCAGATGTTATCAAAATAATAATTAAAATAAGTTGATGTCTTTGAAACCAGTTTTTGGGCACATTTATAATTTTCTCTTTTGTAATGTGTTTATCACATAAAGTCAAAGGTCAAACACAAAGATCACATATCTAATTATGCTTGTACACTTGTACAGTACAATGGTGATTAATTAAAAGTATTTTTTACATCAATCGATTAAAAAAGTGTAAAATTTGTATCATTGATGCAATATATACAATCTGGTGAAAACTGAACTTCATATAAACCTACTATTATTTCCAACTTGAGATGCAATTAAAAAAAATTCTCATATGGAGAAGTCCCGAACAATAGGCAAAATTTGGAAATTCGGTACACTATTCCCTCCTTTCTTATATAAAAATATAAAATGCATAATGTGTGTGGATACAGTGTAAAGAGTTTTTGGATGATATAATTATATTGTGAAATAGGGGCAAGTGAATAAATTATTTATTCTAATAAAAGGGGTTCAATAGAGTGAATTATACTAATATAAAAATAAAAAAAATAAAATAGAAGGAGTTTAAATGTCCGCACACTCCGCACACTATTCTTAAGAGTTCAAAAAAATAGGCATTTAACATTATTGAGGGCAAATAGGTAAATAAATATTTTAGAGGCTACAATTGTCCAAACATTATTTATAAGAGTTATCTCAAAAGGTAGGGAAACAATTTGGTCCAAAGAAAAAAAAAACTCATAATCCACGCACACAAATATTAATAAAAAAAAAAGGGGGAGACAATTTCCAGTTATTAAAACTGGATAAGATATAACCTTTAAAAAAACTAAGTATCTGTAGTAAAGGAGAAAGGAAAAAAAATTAAGGACCCATCAAAATCAATTTCATTAACTATCCCAGCACTACCATTGATCATTAGTTAATAGAAACTAGCTGGGATACAAGTTCCCATGACTGAAAAATTTCTGCAAGCAGAAGTCCATAATAGCTTTTCATTATGCCACAAGGAACCCAGTATGAGTGGATGTCACCATAACTTCCCCACCATTTCTTCTTCTTCTTCCCCAGAAACCAAACCACCAAGAATTAAGCTTACAATATTAATGGCTAACCCATAAGATACCCCACCTCTATTTCTAATCATAGTTCCTCTACAACCACTCAAAGAAACTAGGTAAGCAACAGGTTCTTAGTGACTTACAAATCCATTAGGGGCACAATAGCAGGGGGCTTAACGGCTTAAGGATACAAGATTTTCCTTGAATGATGTCAGGACTCAAAACAACCAAAATCCCAACAAGATTGGGAGATGCTTTTGATTATTAAACCTGGCAATGCACGTTGGGAAACCAAATAAACATCTCCACCTTAGCAAGAAAATTGATTTGAAAGATAAATAACCAAAAAGGGAAATATA